AGTTACATGATGTAGCTACCAAATACCCCCATTTGGCTGAAAAAGCTGAAGCACAACTTGTTAATTAGCTTGCCCAGTCTCGCCCAGATAATAAGTGATATGGTCCCTGCAGTCAGGGAGTGCTGGGAAGTGCCTCACCAGCCAATTCTGTAATAAAAACTCCATGGATGCAGGGACTGCAGATGGTAAGGACACTGGTATGAGGTTTCTGCTCCTGCCTTTGCCATTTCCTGTATTCCAAGGTTATGGGAAAGAGATGGGGATATCAGAAGTAGAAATGGGTTCTCTGTCCCTGTGACTGTATTAGGATTTTTTCTAAAGAGTAATGAGGTCCACATTTTGTAGAAACCAGGGGGGTAACACTCACTGTTGAGGGTTCTCCAAGGCAGATATGTGCCATAACCTATCCAGCATCTTAGCACTTAAAAGGACGGACTTATGCTTTGCTAAGCCTTTGAATGGGGTCTAAGTGGAGAGACCCAATTTTGGTAATCTTTCCTGATGATTCTGTTGAACCATTCACACATTCATCTCTTCCTCACCGCATTCTATACTGACCTATGCCTTAAAAGACAGAGGGGAAAGTCTTAAATACATACCAACTAGGATACTGAAATAGAAAATAAGTTCCATGGTGGTTCAGTTCTTTCCCTGTGAGGTGTAGAAGATCAGCAGAGGTTGGAGCCCTCAATCGGCTTCTCAGGAATGTCTACCAGAGTCAGCAGATAGGGGCATTCCGTGGGATTGGAAAACAGCTCTGGGCATAAGCAGTGGGAGTTGACAGCTCCAGACAGACTGATCAAAGAAGCAGGAGACTGTGCTCTATTGGAGCCTTGGAGGCAAGGGGAAAGAAGCTTGATTCCTTAGACTCCTGAGTCCAGGTGCCTCTTTTCACAGCTCTTCTACTGCCCCACTGACTGAAGGTAATTCAGCTGTCTGGAAAGGGGAGTTCCAGGTTCAGAACTTATCTTTCCCACAGAGTTCTGTGAGAAACAGGATTCTCCACCTTTGCCCAGCGACAATGTCCCTTATGGTTTGCTCGGAATCTAGTATGGTCACTTAAAGGTCCCCTCAGCCCCTCCCATCTTTGTTACATCTGGTCACTGTTTCATCATTCAGTCATCATCACCACCTGGTGCCCTGATCACTGGTTTTGAGCCAAGAAAATGAGGAAATGGAAAGAAAGCTTACATGGTACAGTTAGTTATGAGAGTTTGGGAATGGTGTACATTCTAGATGGCATTGAATCCAAGGTTTAATGTTCATGATAATTCAAAAGGCAGTTCTTCTAAATGCCTTTTATGTATTGAAAATGTTTCTTTGCTGACATGATCTTAATCATCCTTAGATACCAGAGAGCACACTCACAAAAAGGAGCATTGATACTAATAGCTAATATTCGTTGACCATGTATTGAACCTCACATTCGCTGAATGCTTACTGATACCCATGTTCACTGAATATTTTCTGAATCCTAGATGCAGAGTTAAGTTTCTCTCTCTCTCTCTCTCTCTCTCTCTCTCTCTCTCTCTCTCCTCTCTCTCCTCTCCTCTCTTCTCTTCTCCCTCCCTCTCTCCTTCCTTCCCTCCCTCCCTTCCTTCCCTCCCTCCCTCCCTCCCTTCCTTTCTCTTCCCTCTTTCTGATTTTGGGTTTGTCTTTTTTTTTGAGACAAGGTTTCATGTAGCCCAGGCTGGCCTCTCATTGGTGATTTTCCTGCCTCTGTCTCCCAAGTGCTAGGATTGCAGGTGTTTTCCAGGGCCTCCAACCTGGCCCAGAACTCAGTTCTTTTTTTTTTTTTTTTTGGGGTTTTTGAGACAGGGTCTCCCTGTGGCCCCAGCTGTCCTGGAACTCACTATGTAGACCAGGTTGGCCTTGAACTCACAGAGATCCACCTGCCTCTGTCTCCCTAGTGCTGGGATTAAAGGCACGCACCACCATGCCAGGCGTCACTGTTCTTTTTTTTACCTAGTCAGTTTGATTTTCTAGTGATACCCTCTGCCCTTGCCTACTGGGTGCCAGAGATGTATTGTCCATAGTCAACTGAGCTTCTTGTAGGTTCACATTTTCCTGAGAAGGTTTTTGGTCTTCCTAATAATCCACTTTGTGTCTTGGTCTGCATGCTAAAATCTTTTCTCTATTTTCCCTCTGCTCTCATAGATCTCATTTCCTCCACTGTGCTTCCAGACTGAATCACGTTTTTTAGTTCCAATCTTTCTCTTACTGGTTGGGCTGCCAGTTCTTCAATTAGCGAACATGTTTACTTCTCCCTGTTTCCTAAACTTAAGTATATGTGGGGATGAATTCCTGTCTGCAACTCATCTTATTCTTTAATTTAAATTTATAAGTTTTAAAGGACAGTTTTTGCCCCTTGCCCTCCAAGGTCGACTAAGTCGAACACCTCTCAAAATGTCCAGTAACTGTAGTGAGTCACCTGTCCTCTTGTTCAGGAGGACAGGGAGACCCCACAAGATGGATTTGAACCAGTGTCCAGTCTACAAAGAGGAGGGTCAACTCAGAGGAAACATCTCATTCATGCTTCAAGTGAAGCCAGACATGATTGAGCAGCGGGGGACCTTTGACCTGTTTTCACATTGATGGAACTGGTAAAAGAAAGGAGCCAGGAGCTCCTCCCAAGACCATGTGACCCCTGAGGAACAGATCTTCAAATGACCTTAAATATAAAAATAAATTGATTATTTGGGCCAACTGTATGGTCTTAAACACCTAAAAGGAAAGTATAACCAAAGAGCAAAGGGATCAGTATATTTCTTTAGGAGTTCAAGGGATTACACTTCCCAGACATTAGGCTTAAGTCCATACAAAAAGTTAGACAATTATCTCTCATTGATGATTTTGTTCTGAATCAGAAAGTACTGCTCAGATGTAAGACTTCAAATCTTGGTCTGCAATCCTGCAGTGCCCACCTGCAGATAAGGGAGACAACCCACTATTCTAAAATGATGGCCAAATTTGTTTCCTCCCCCTATATAGAAGCCTTTGAGAGGGAACTGACACAGATTCTAACCACTCCAACAGCTATCAAAATGCCTGAAATCAAATCCTAAATCCATCAGTCCAGTGTTGTCATGCAAAAGAAAAATGAGGAGGAACCCAACAGAGGGATGCTTTTGGAAGCCCTT